ATATATATTATTTTTAATGTATTGAATATGGTCAGAATTGTAATATTTCAAATATATGTCAATATATTTGGGAAGAATATTTTTAAAATACATTTCAAATATATTTTTCTTCCATGTGGGTTTGAAAGGCAAGAAAACCCGCCAATGCGAATATTGCTTTAAATAATAGAGAAATGGCATTTGTCCCAACAGAATCAAGAAGCCACCTAGACACTTTCCAAAGAAGGCAGCTCAGAATGTAATAATATGTGGTAATAGTAAGACAGCAATTGTTTTCAATTGTATAGAAAGCTGATCTTTAATTTTTCTAGTTTTAGAATAGGTAATGTTTAAGACCCCTTTCCATTTTTTGGGGGTTTTTTTTTGGCCGAGTCTTGTTGAGAAGATTTCACTTTAGTTTCTGTTGCATAGCAATCAGGAAAAGATAGGATATTTCACAAAAATAAAGGAAAACTCTGTTAATTGTCCTCATTGAAAGAATTCTTCCCTAAGTCCAGTGTTTCTCAACTCCAGTCCTCATGGACCCCCAACAGGTCATGTTTTCAGGATTTCCATTTATTTTGCACAGGTGATTTGATCAGTTTCACTGCCTTAGTAATTACCACAGCTGTTTCATCTGAGGGAAATCCTGCAAACATGACCTGTTGGGGGTCCATGAGGACTGGAGTTGAGAAACACTGCCTAAGTCCATTCCATTGACAAATCAACATTTTGGATTTTCACTTTCAGTTCTAGTAGCAATAGGTGCCTGAATGAACAGAGAAGGTAATGTCTATTAGGGCACTACAGACTGCAATTAAAATCTGATGGGATCTAACCCCTCACCACTTTAATGTGACCTTAATCAGCCTATTGAGCCTCATACAGGATGAGAATATCAGACAAACATTTTTTTTTTTTTTGCATGCTAGTCTCCCTACCAAAAATGAAGAGGTTATTCAATTTACGAAAATTCTCGCACAGCAGAATACAACTTCGGAAATGATGTAATGACTTTAATCAGCAGCTAACCTATTAAAGCCTTGTACACACAATGAGAATATCGGACAAACATTTTTTTTTTTGCATGCTAGTCTCCCTACCAAAAATGAAAATGTTACTCAACTTACGAAAATTCTTGTACGGCAGAATACAACTTCGGAACTGATGTAATGTATTGAAAACTGTACCGATTAAATGAAAATCATACAATCTGGTATTGTACGAGAAACATTTTTGTTTTTGTCCCTTCGGATCATTTCAGATGTACTGTCTTGAACGGTTCTCCAAAACTGTGTACTAATGATCAGATTATCGTAGGATCGCTTTGGAAGAGGTATTTTTCACATTATATTCTGATGTTATGTACTAGGCTTAACCTCTTCATGCCAGCAGAACGCAAATGTGTGGCCTCTGGGCCTAGACGCAAAGTGGCCACACATTTGCGTTCTATTAAAAAAGAACATATGTGCTGAGAGCGCACGCCATGGTACCTACAGAAAGGTCCCGATCTCCTCTTTGGATCGGGACCTTTCCAGATCATATGACTGCTGTGATGGCGTGTACGGCGGTCACATGATCCTAAACCCCGCCTCCTGGCTTCTGAAACCCTTAAAGGGCCAGGAAGTGCTGGCACGAAGGGATTAAGCTTTCTCTGATCTAGGCTTTGAAAAATCTCCTCATTCCAGATGTTCCTTCAAGTTCAATTACTGCTTGGCAATCAACTTACTTCTGACCTCCCTTGCAATCTTACATTCAAGGCTTGAGTTTTCAATTTAATTTTTTTTTAACCAGCTAAGACTAAGTATATCTAAACCAATTTTGTTTATATTCCGGATAGAGTATTGGATATTTAAAACCACTGTCATGTTTTTTTTGTTTTGCTTTCTGTCTCCCATTCAAAAGATTTAACTTCCTGTCCTGTTCCACATAACAGAGCGTACAAGAAAATCTCTCCAAAGTAAAAGAAATCTACTATTTGTTGTCACCACCAGAACAAAAGTCAACATTACATAATTTCCCCCATGTTCAGGTGAAACCTCAAAATATGAAATTTTACCTTACTTTCAGACCCAGTGACAATGGTCACCAGAACAAATGGAGTGGGTGATATACCTCAGTAGGGACAAAACCACTAATAAAAGCCTGACAGGTGGACATTGGACAATCTCCCGTACCATGTCGCTAAAAGTAAACAAAGAGGTAGGGTCTCCCAGGTGACTGGATGAAACTACTACACCAGTTAACTACTAAACTATTATTATTGTTGTTGTTTTTTCTAATTCTTATTATTTTTATCTATTTTTCAGGATAAAAAAAGTATTGCCGTGATATTTTAATATAAAACCGTGATACTTGTGAGCTACTGTGGTATATGGGCATAAATATCTTATTTGGTGAGTGAAATATAAATTATTAAATGTAAATGAGTAAATAAATACATAAAAACATATAAGTGGGTTGCCTGCACCTCACTTTCCCCCTGATTAAACCACGTGACCCGGTGGCGTAACGCGTAGGGGAGGGGCTCTGACATCACAACGCTTAAAGGAATATTACACAGCAAGTATAAGAAGTGTGGCAAACACAGAGGATTCCATATATTGCACACAAAAAGAGTTTATATTATGTATATCATGTGAGTGCACTATATATTACTGCTAATAAATACTTTTAAAGGAGATAAGGCACTATATTACATTCTTTAATTACATGATACCTATGCACATGGATAAGTCAGAAAGGAGGGAAGAGACCCACTAGAGGAAAGAGGGATTACTCCCTCCATCCATCCAACTTCAGGAAAGCAGGCCTCTGGGAAACAGCGAGACCCCCTGCTGAACAAAAGGCAAACACTCCACTCATCCATCCATCCTTCTGGGACAGGGATATATATGTCCACTCATCTCTAAGTCCATTTAAAGGGACACAAGCTGTATTTGACCTCACTTATTGGTTTGGTCATATACGTCAGGTGAGCGCACAATGGTGAAGGAACACACAAGTTAAGGTTTTTGTGGACTTTTTCAAATATAATTTTTTATATTACATATAAAACCTTTTTGTGAATTACAAAAATAAGTGAAATAAATAAATAAATAAATAGATTTTAAACATATAATATACAATAAAGTCCCACTGATCAAAAAAGTGTCCAAAAAGAAAGTCCAAAATAGTGTCCACAAATATCCCCCAAATTTTTTTTTCTCTCTTTTCATCCAAAAGGATTGGCTCCAGTTTCATCCAAAACGCACCTCGAAGTAAAAAATATAATATCTAGTGCATTACCTTAATAATAATAACAATAATCACCCCGTGCAACCAAAATACACTTCAAAAAAAACTTTTGTGCAAAAAAAAAAAAAAAAAAAATTCCAAATTGTTTTCTTATAGTGCATATAATCACACAAATCGAGCTATGAGCACTCTGTGGTCACTGCAATTCAATGTGTACCATCAACCAACACACAGTAGTACTAAATACTATTACCCTCTATGAGTATTGAAATGCTCAAACAATACTATGGAAAAATATTCCTCCACATTCTCTTCAAAGAAGTTTTTTCCAAGGTCCTCAGAGAGATAAGAAGGGTCTCAGGACTAGTATTCAAAGCATAGGGATAACTTTTATTCGTCACTTACATTGAAATTTAAAATTATCAGCTCCAGACATGGTTTCAAACTTTTTCTCTCAAACACCATAGAAAACCATGTGTTGAAAACCAACAAAATGGCCGCAGCGACACTTCCGGTCTAGGTACGTGCGTCTTGACGTCACTCCTCTAACGCGTTTCGTCACTTCCGGACCGGAATGAAAAGAGAGACACTATTTTGGACTTTCTTTTTGGACACTTTTTTGATCAGTGGGACTTTATTGTATATTATATGTTTAAAATCAATTCATTTATTTCACTTATTTTTGTAATTCACAAAAAGGTTTTATATGTATTATTGCACTTTCTAGGGAGAAAGTATTGACTTTTTGAGGGTGTAAAAAGAAGGGTATACATTGAATGAATAAATTTTTTTATATGTTCTTATTTTTTAAATCTTGTTATATTTTATATTATTTATTTTTCGCTAGTGAATAACACAAGTCCCGGATTGTTTTTGGTAAATAAGCACGCATGATCGCAATTTAAAGTCGGACTCATTTTTGTAACGAAAATCATTTTGGATTATACACATTAATCCTATGTTTATATTTCAGTGTGAATATCATATTCAATATTAGTGGCGGGCAACACGATTTGCATATTTATTTCTCATGATATTTTAATATTTTTTTAAAATAATAATATTAATTAAAAAAAAAAGTATGTAAGACTACAGAAATTTGAAAATTCTTTAATTCTGTTTTATTGTGGAACTTCATCTTTTTCCATTTTTGAAAAACATCAAACACATTGTTGGCATCTTTAATTATTCTTCAAAGTAAAGAATGTGTGAGATCAACCAGACTCAGGTCACACAAATTAAACTGCTTGGATTTCGAGGTCTTTATAAATTTAGGATTCTGCTGTTCATGGTGTTCCTTCTGACATACATAATGATAATAAGTGGGAACCTTTTAATAATAATCTTAGTGGCAACTGTTGACCACCTAAAAATTCCGATGTTCTTCCTTCTCAAGCACTTGGCTACATCTGATGTCCTAATGACCACATGTGTGGTCCCCATGACTCTGGAGGTTATAATTAAAGATGACGTAAGACTATCGCTGGCTGGTTGCATCACTCAACTTTATTTTTTTGGTATCTGCAGCTATTCACAATGTTTTCTTATTGCGGTCATGTCCTACGATCGGTATTTAGCTATTTGCAATCCATTACGATATTCATCCCTTATGAACTCCCATGTTTTTTCCCAGTTGATCATCTGGTTATGTTTCTTAGTCATTATTTTAGTGTCCAGTGAAATAGTTGTGGTATTTCAATTTAATTATTGTGGTCTAGATTCTATAGACCACTATTTCTGTGATTTTGGACCACTGGTTGAATTGTCCACCTCTGACACTTCTGCTTTGATGCTTCAAGACTTTTTTGTTTCCATCGTTACAATATTTTTACCATTTGCCTTTATTATTATAACATATACCTGTATTTCGGTCACTATTCTGAAGATATCTTCAACTTCTGGGCGAAGGAAAGCCTTCTCCACTTGTAGTTCACATTTGACCGTGGTTTGTGCTTATTATGGAGCATTAATCATTGTGTATGTGGCACCACCTGATGACAGTTCAATCAACATGAACAAATATAGGTCTCTCCTGTACATGGTGGTGTCTCCATTGAAGAATCCAATGATATATAGCTTGAGAAACCATGAGATCAAGAGAGCTCTGCAAAAAATGATGGCTACGTTTAAAACTTTTTGCACATAATAAATCAACAATATATTTAATGAATAGACAGAGAAGAAAAAACTGATATAAGGACAATCTTATGGAATGAAAGTAGATTGCATGTGGGCAATTAAGTCTGCTTGGCACATATCTATATAGAAATGTAAATTGATGCACTTGAGGACAAAGGGGCACCCTTTATGTCTGGAGTAAAATAAATTTCCAAACTCGGAAAGGTTTCTTCACAGTGAGAGCTGTGACAATGTGGATTAGACTGCCTCAAGAGTTGGTTTTGGCCATCTCAGTGGATTGCTTTAAAAAAAGTCCTGGATTCTTTCTTAGATACACAGAATATAGCTGGATATAACATTTATAGGTAAAGTTGATCCAGGGAATATCCGATTGCCCTCTCAAAGGAGATCAGGAAGGATTTTTTTTCCCTGCAGGAGCAAAATGGATCATGCTTTGCTGAGGTTTTTTTTTGCCTTCCTCTGGATCAACTGTGGGTGTAGGATTATAACTTTTTTTTTAATGTTTGAATTGGATGGAGTTTTGTCTTTTTTCAGCCAGACTAACTATGTAATTATGTAACTACTGCTAAAATGTCCACACACGACTTTAATCCAAAAAAGTAGGGGGGGGGTGATTCAAGGAGTATCCAAAGTGTTTTTGGGGTCCAAAAACACCCCTCTTCACTTTCAAAACTATGTTAGAGATGCCATGGTGATATAGGCACTCACAATCACATTTTTTGGGACTGTCCCATCATTCGTCATTTCTGTATCTCTTTTAGTCCCTCTTCCAAAACCTCTTTGACATTACATTACCTCTAGATCCAGTCAATAACTTATTAGGGTTGCCCTTCCAAGGCATCTCTAATCACGCTAAGAAATTGGCTACATTTGTTCTGTTAGCTGCCAAACTAACCATACTTTTAGGTTGGTTGTCCCCAATACCTCCGACTTACTCACAATTGTTACGAACCATAGCTGACATTCGTAGAATGGAACACCTTACTGCAATAGTGAATGATTCTATGCCTCAATTTACCAAGATTTGGGATTCGTGGGATGAATCAGAGTTTAGTGTTAAAACGCCATCCCAGGGGCGGACTGACAACTCATGGGGCCCCTGGGCAATAGGGAATCCTGGGGCCCCTGTGTCCTTGCCCAAACTCAAAAAAGCCTATGAAAAAGGTACCAGGGGTATCCCCCTACTGACCCCGGGCCCTCGGGCAGTGCCCGAGTTTCCAAATGGTCATTTCGCCCCTGCGCCATCCCATAACTATGGCTAACTATCTCCCTTGCTCCTTTCTAAAACTGAAATGCTCTTCTTATTTGTAAGTCCTATGCACTTGGTCCATGGTGTGCCTCCTTCTTCCCCCACCCTTATCTTTTATCCGTTTATTAATGCTGATATGTATCCTATGTGTATGATTATGTTTCATTCATTTATCAAAATGTGTCCTTTCATTGACCAATGCCTATTCTGGTGGTCCAAATGCAGTTTCTTTTTTATTTGTACACAGGTCCCATGTAGACTGTTTCATGTTTTTTATTTCCTGTACTTTGATCATCTACTGTATGTTGACGATGTGGATATTTGTATAATTTGGAAACATTAATAAATACAGTTATGAAAAAACACCCCTCTTATCAGGACTTGATTGAAAACAATGTGAATGGACTAGAACTTAACTGGACCTTAAATTGTATTTCTTTCACAGTAATATACCACAGGATCCCCAGAACCCTTAGGCTACTCTTTGGGTTGTCTCCGTGGCTTTCATTAGAAAAAAATCATATCCGAACCTTTTACCAGAGGTGCACCACTTCAATTTACATTTTGTTCAATTAGGCTACAAGCCAAGGAGACAATGGAGATCCACTGGGGTGTAGAAGCCAGCTTCTTGGGAACCAGAATTCTTTCATCAAGAGCAATACCAATAACATAGTCATACAGGTCCAATGCTATTTTTCCACTTTCCTCAACTGACATATTCACAGCCTGACTTGGAAAAGATCTGGAGGTCCGCAGTGTGGACTGGCTGCTGGGTCTTATACTGAATACATAAAGTTAAATCTATTATTATGTTGAAAGAAATAATATTCAGATGTACTAGAAATATGTCCTGTGTGCTAATAATTGTGTTATAACTATAAAAAATGTAGTTTTCATTGTGATTTTCCTTCTATTCCTCCCCATCCATGCAATGTTTGGTTCTTAGCCTGTGGTCTATGAACAGACAATTCCAGTTACGTTGTTTTTTATCTGAGGGCCAGCTACCTGCCTCTAGTATTTTCCTGGGTCACCTTTATTTTGTGTAATCAGTAGAACACCCAGTAGCTTAGCTTGGGAGAGGAATAATATTGTCTCCAAATTTTTTGACTTTAGTAAATCAGATTGCGATACAATTATTTGCACAACTCAGGTAAATGCAGAACTGTGGCCAAAACTCTTTGTCCATGCTTCTGTAGAAATTAAATAAATTAATAGAAATTAAAGGCAACATATTTGTGTATAGATATAATTAACATTATACATACATTTTATCCTCTTCCTTATAAGTGATTACATTCCCTCTGTTCTTAGCTGCATAAGAGCTGGGGGGGGGGGGACAGAAGCACACTAATCTTCCCAGTGAACCATACCTTCAATCCTCTTCCTTATAAGTGATCACATTCCCTCTGTTCTTGGCTGAGTAAGAGCTGGGGGGAGGAGAAACAGCAGCACACTGATCTTCCCAGTGAATGGCTGCACGGGAAGAAGTGTGCCAAGGAGCAGTTTGATCATTGGAGGAGAGCTTGTTGAGTTCCTAACACAGCTGGAGAACTGGACACGCTGTGTTCCGCTTAATGTGGTCAGTTTTTAATAGGAAATCAGAGGGACTGGCAGGAACACCAGGGATTTCACACAAAGGAAGGAAAACAAAGAGAACAGGATACTTTTTCATACAAGTACACGGTACAGCAGGCATATACTGTATCTGGAATCAGAAACATTGGGTATACATATTCTTTTAATCTGACTGTAATGACAGGAGCATCAAACTTGTCTGTGTACTGATGTTCTTCTTTACCCCTCACCTCTTACTCCTATGTTTTTGAACTTTTACCCACCCCATTTCTTTGGTTAACCTATTGTCACCTACATAACACAAATGTGAGGCTGAGTTTTTAGGTCCACCTGCCACACACATGTAACCATGGATAGCTGAGGTTTCTGTCTCAGCACAGTGACTGAGCTGTCATAGACCTGGTCTCTAGTAATGATCGGGAACTGGGGATTAGCTCCTTAACATGTGAACATTGTAACTGCCAATGACGGTGGTCAGGTCACCAGGAATTCCTTCCTGTCCTTTGGGTGTAAAGGCCCCATTGCAGGGACACTGCGGATGGATGGGAAGGGGTTAAAGAAACCTTGTTACCAACTTACACCCTAACAAACACAGCCAAACAACCTATATTGGGAGTACTTACAAAGCCATCCACAACTAGGCCTCCAGCTACTTCACTAACCTGGTTTAAAAATACCAGCCATATGGGTACAGTGCTGCATGACTAAGTAATTGTCATTCAAAGTATGAGAGCACTGCAAGCTGAAAATTGGCCTGGGCAAGAAGGGGGTATAAGTGGTTAAACCTAGTTACCTGTCCTGCAATGATGGTCCCCGCGATCCTCCATTTATATCCATTCCAGGATCTTGTATATAGAATGTGTGGGCACCAGCAAAGAGCAGAACTCCACTTTCCTGCACTGCACTGGAGAGAGAGGAAAAAGGGGGGCATAGTAGTGGCACTGGGGGGCAGGGGAAATATATTGGTGGCACAGGGGAGAACCTACGCAGTGGAGAGGGTGAGTGCTGTATACAAAGGGAAACTGGCGGTTAGGCACAGGGAACATATCAGAGTCTGGGCCATACACACTGTATACTGTACATAGCCAATTAATGAAATCTATGGTACATACTACTGACCTTTGCACTTTACGGTACGGTGCCTGCGCTCATTACATGCTACTAACATCTATACTCTCATTCTAGCCTCTGACCTCTAAACTCTAGGTTTACTTATGACCCCTGTACTCTGCATTACTTCATCCTGACCCCTGCACTCTTCTTTACTGTACATAATACAGACTTCTGAATTCTGCATTTTTTACTGCTGACTCCTTCACTTTGCATTACATATCCCTGACCCCATCACTCTATTAATTGCACACTGTGTTACATGCTACTGACTTCTGAACTCTGTGTTGCGTACTTTTTACCCCATTACTCTGCCTTTCATACTCCTGACTCCTTCACTGTGTATTACTTACTGCTGACCTCTGAAATGTGTCATATTTACTTCTGACCCCTGCACTATACCAACCAATATGTATTCTGCTTTGGCAAGTTAAACCCAGCCAGCCAGGACAGAACTCAATTCAGCCAGCAAAGCCAGAACCTAGCACAGCCAGTGAAGCTAGAACTCATCTCAGTCAACCACACCAGAACTCAGCCCAACCAGCTAGGCCAGAACCCAGTCCACCCAGCTAGGCCAGAACCCAGGCCAACCAGCTAAGCCAGAACCCAGTCCAGCCAGCTAGGCCACAACACAGCACAACCAGTGAGACCAGAACTCAGCTCAGTCAGAACTCAGCCCAGCCAGCTAGGCCATAATACAGCACAACCAGTGAGACCAGAACTCAGTTTAGTCAGAACCCAGCCCAGCCACCTAGGCCATAACACAGCACAACCAATGAGACCAGAACTCAGCTCAGTCAGAGCCCAGTCAGCTAGGCCATAACACAGCACAACCAGTGAGACCAGAACTCAGCTCAGTCAGAACCCAGCCCAGCCAGCTAGGCCATAACACAGCACAACCAGTGAGGCCAGATCTCAGCTCAGTCAGCTAGGCCAAAGCCCAGCCAGCTAGGCCATAACACAGCACAACCAGTGAGGCCAGATCTCAGCTCAGTCAGCTAGGCTATAACCAAGCCCAGCCACCTAGGCCATAACCCAGTCCAGCCAGCTAGACTATAACCCAGCCCAACCAC